TCCTTAACTCACCGTCTGCCTGGCTTCCTCTAAGCCCTGGGATGATGCTCTCACAGGCCCCCTTGCCGAAAGGAGCAGACGCCAGCTCTACCCTGTTATCGACAGCATTTGGAAACCTGAGTCTTCAAAGGCTGAGCTCACCAGGCAAAACCCTTGCTTTGGGGAAAGCGGTGACACCGCAGAACAGGCACCCTCGTAGTAATGTCCCTGGACTGGGACTCCTCCCTCTGGCAGTGTGCCCAAGCACAGCCAGAGAGCGTTCTGCTACAGCACTTCCCTCGTTCAGTCATCCACGCATTCTCCACTCAGTCAACAAATGTTTACTGAGCATCTACTATGTTCTGGGCATGGGGATAACAGCAGGGGCTCTCAGGAAGCAGATCTCCAGAACCAAGTGCATGCACGTAACCCTCCTTTTCCACCCTGGTGCTTCCAAAGGCCTTCGGGGGAAGTGACAGAGGGCGGCCCCCCTGGGTGCAGCAGGTCAGTGGCAGGAGTGGAGGGAGAGAAAATAAGAAGAAGAACTGAGGACAGTTAGAATTGCAAAGAAATGTTAAGCTTTAACAGTAGTCTGCAGGTTATTGTAATATCAATATTGTTATTTTAAACTTTATATGTGACGGGATAATATGAAAAAGTAATAATTTAATGTTGTTAGGATGGAACTGTCAATGTCAAAAACAACATATAAAAATCAAGGGAATTTAACAACCCTGTAATGTTAGATTGGGAATGGCAAGAGCAACACTGTGTTGGTCATGATTCTACAAGATAACGTGGTATAACGCCCAACCCTCCAATCTCAGAGGCTTACAGCAACAATGTTTATTCCAAGCTGTAGGTCTGCAGAGTGACTGCAGTTCAGTCACCTCTGCTGGGCTCCCTTGGCCTGGCCTGGGCCGGGCTGAGCTGGGCTGGGCTGGAATTCAGGCTTTGGGTTTGGGATTCAAGCTGAAAGAGCAACAGCTACCGGTACACCAGGGAGGGTGGGAATTCCAAGAGGACGGGTAGAAGCTTGTCATGCCTCTTACCACCTCAGTTCACCACTTGCATTACTACCGCTTATGCCTAAGTCACAGGGCCAAGCCCAAAATCTATACAAGGGGGCAACGTACGCCACCCACAGGGAAGTTGCAACAAGGATGAGGAGGGAAGAATTGTGAAGAAATGATATCACCTGACCTACTTACAATCTCATGAGTTTTCCTTTCAAAAAATAAACATGTCCTGGCCCTGTCCACTAAAAAGACCTAGCAACCCAGCAGCAATGGACGCCCCCGCACCCAGGTGCTGGTTTCCAAATACCCTTCCCCACTAAAAGAAGCCAGCACCCCTGAAGGAGTGAAAGCCCGCATCCAGGTCTTCAGGAGGAAATGCACAACAGCACACTGGTCATCTCTTGTCCCAAAGAGGAAGGACGTCATTAAAAATGAACAGGTCATGCTGCTACAGGAGATGACACAAAAGGGCTCCCATTGGTTGGAGGCAGGACAATGCAGGCATCAAAAGAACCAGTGACTGACTGACTGACCAGAACACAGGCTCCCAGCCCACTCTCACCCCTGGAATCAGAACCTCTAGGGATGAAGCCCAGGCATCTGGGTTCTTGGCAGAACCCAACCCCACCCCCTTCACCCCCACTGACTGACGCACAGCCAGGCCCCAACAGCACCAGTCCATAGGCTTCCTCGCCCTCGGGGAGCCCAGGTCACGCACAGGGCCCATCCTGCTCTCAGATGCTGGCCTCTGCTTCCTGAAAGTCTTTCCACAACAAACTTAAAACTGTCCCCTATTCATGTCCTTCCAACTCTGGGGTGGTCCGGCCACAATGTGGTGGGCATCTTCAAGGGGAAACAATTCTAGTTTTCAGTTTGCTAACAAAAATAAGAACAGTGAAAAAGCTGGGGTAGCTTCCAGGGTCCTCCTTTTAACCACAATGTTGACAATGACAATGAGGAACAAATGCTTCCATTTTTAGCTAACGTATCATAGATCCAAGGCATTCAAGTTTGGGGTTTCTCCAGATACCTCAAAGCAACTAGTTCTTAATCTCCACTCTGCCCCAGAATCCTCTGGTGAGCTTTCACAAAATAGGGTTGGCTGGGTCCTGGACCCCGACCCACAGATGCCAACTCAGCGGTCTGGGAGGCGTCTGGGCACCCCGTGTCCCAGAGGCCGCCCGGGTGATTCTGCTGCACAGCCACAATGCAGAACCACTTCTCCAGGCTCATAGGATCTTGAAAGCAAAACGCCTCTACCTTAATGTCTTGTCACAACTTGAAACCAGCTATGCCTTAGATGAGGTGCCTTCCAAACTGCAGTGCCCTGGGGGACAGTCTTGGTCTGCCCCTCCTTGTGCCTCTGAAGAACTCCCCACCCCTCCCCTCCCACAGTCAGCCTGAGCGGCCATCCCATTCTCCCTGGGCACATGCAGGTTCGGAGTTCAGGGCTCACAGCACACTGGGCTGCCCTCCCCAATGGGACACAAATAAAGATCCAAACGTCTGAACCACTGCAGATCAAAGCTAAGCAGCGACCACGATCAGAAAATCCAGGAAGCTCAGAGAGTCCCAAAGAAGTTGGACCCAAGAAGGAACACACCAAGGCACATCATCATTACATTAGCCAAGATTAAAACGAAGGAGAGAATATTAGAAGCAGCAAGAGATAAGGAGACAGTCACCTACAAAGGAGTTCCCATCAGACTGTCAGTTGATTTCTCAAAAGAAACATTACAGGCAAGAAGGGGCTGGAAAGAAGTATTCCAAGTCATGAAATCCAAAGACCTACAACCAAGATTGCTCTATCCAGCAAAACTTTCATTTAGAATGGAAGGACAGATAAAGTGCTTCTCAGATAAGATCAAGTTCAAGGAGTTCATCATCACCAAGCCCTTATTATATGAAATGTTAAAGGGACTTATCTAAAAAAAGAAGATAAAAAATATGAACAGTGAAAGGACAGCAAACTCACAGTTATTAACAACCACACCTAAAACAAAAGCAAACTAAGAGGACAGCTAGATCAGGAGCAGAACCATAGAAATGAAGATCACATGGAGGGTTAGCAACAGGGGAGTGGGAGGAGGAGAAGGGGGGAGAAGGTACAGAAAATAAGTAGCATAGACAGTAGGTAGAAAATAGATGGGGGAGGGCAAGAACGGTATGGAAAACATAAAATCTAAAGAACTTGTGGCACATGGACATAAACTAAAGGGAATGGTGGGGGAGGGGTGTGCAGGGTGGAGGGGAATGAAGGGGGAATAGGACAACTGTAAAGGCATAGTCAATAAAATATATTTTAAAAAAATAAAGAAATAGTTCCGGCTGAGAACTAAGGTGACCATCAACCCACTACTTCCCCAAAAGGCTCCAAGAGGTAGTGAGTGAGTTGTTTCCATCGTTTTAATTAGAAAGGACAGATAACTCCACGTTAGATGAAACGGAAAGAGCCTGGAAGTCAGCCAATTCAAGAAAGCAAACAGCTCTGCTCCCCAAACCTGATGGACAGGACACGCGTGCGCACACACGCACAGAGCACAGGTCACTGCCCTGTCCTCACGTAAATGCTGACGGCAGCCGCCCACGCCAGTTCCTTCCTGATCTCTCGCAGGGGTGTCCAACAGGTGGCCTGCAGGCCGCATGCGGCCCAGCATGGCTGCAAATGCGGGCCAACACAGAATCGCAGATGTACTTAAAACACGATGAGATTTTTTTTTGTCATTACGTGTTGCAACGTATTTAACGTGCGGCCCAAGACAACTTCTTCCAGTGTGGCCCGGAGATGCCAGAAGGCCGGCCACCGCGCAGGTCAGATACCTGCTCCCAGAGGCCTGGTGCTCTGTTCACTTTGTGTTCAGAGCTGCCTCTCTCAGTCCTGACAGCTGCCCTAGTGTAAGAAGAGCACGTTAGGAGTGTTCTGGAACGCACAGCAGACAGTTTTGCTCGCAGCAGACACGTTTTGACATATCTCTACACCCCTTCTCTCTGAAATCTGTACCCACTCATGAGGCTGGCCCCTCCGCTGTGCTTGCTTGTCTTGGCCACGCACTCCTGACCTCAGTCACTGAACCCTCACGAGACACACGGCTCTGCTGGGCTGGGCTGAGAGTTGCTGGTCTCGGTCTAGCAGGTGGCTTAAGTGAGAACCACGTAAAGGCGGGCCCTGTGGGGAGGCCGTGTTAAACCACGCAGGCAGCCAGGAGTGAAGGCAGAAGGCAGAAGGAGAGGGAAAAGCGGGGGCAAGAAGCAAAGATGGCTTGTATACTGGATGGTTCTCTAGGTGGCCTGAACGCCGCATCCATGTTCTCTGTGAAATGCCCTTTGACCCCTGCAATAAATTCCTCTTCTGCCTATCACAGCTACTTTGAAATGCATTTCTATTATTTGCTAACAAAAAAGAACCCTGACTGAAATAACTATAAAGCCTCGTTATCAACTGCTAAGCATTTCCAGGAATTTTTTTAAATCAACTTGAATGAGTCAACTTGTTCTTCTCCACTGAATACACTGCTTCTACAAACACACAGTGCAATCAAACATAAACACGTGTGTGTTTTACTGGAGCACCTGTTTTCAAAACTAGACACAAGGCAACCACCAGAATCAGGGGTCTGCAAAAAGAAAACTCTCTAGAAGAAACGTTCCCTCGCACCCCCTTCTTGATGGGCACTGTCGTCAGCAGGCGGAGCCTAGGACAAGCAGTTAGTGTGGCAGGACTCGGCTCAGACACAGAGGCCACGGGCACCAGGGCCGAAGCCCTGCCAGAGGGGACCAGATGCAGGGGCCAGACACGGGGGCCAGATACGGGGGCAAGATGTGGGGGCATTCTCTGGAGAGCCCGGACACCTGGCTCGGAGAGGGAGCACTGTCAGGAGTGGGGCGTCTCTGGGTGCTCTCTTTAATGGGGCGCATGCGTGCACAGAGACTTTGAGAGAGAAACTAAGAAACAGAGCCACTCTGATGTGGCTATGGGGACGGCACAAAGGACAAGGTACAGACCTCTGGCTGGATGGCTTTGAACACGGGGATGTCCATCAGCGTGATCTGGCTCTGCAACAGAAGAGAGGAGACATTAGAAAACCCAGAGGTGGCAGCTGCGTGATTTTGAGTCCACACGGAGCAGTAACACATGCTTAAAAATTACACTTAACCTGCTGAATAAAAATCAAGATAGAATAGAGTAAAAAAACAGGCAAATTTCTCAAAGCCTCTCCCATCTCTTCCCTCATCATAAATCTTGATCCACACCCTTCTTCCTTGGATGTGAGATGAATGTCCAACTTAAGAATTGGTAATAGTTTGAAGTGTGGGACCGAGAAGAAGGGGAACATTTTTTAGTTTGGATATTTTTGTACAATTTAAGTTTTTTCCAAGCATGAATTACTTTTGTAACTTTAAAAAGTTGGCAATACTACAAAATAGAATGCTAAACAGAGACACTATTACTCTCAATTAAATTTTTTAAAATTGTGGTTTATAGAAATTGTCTGTTTCTTCTGAAGTCTAAGGCTCCTCAAAATTACATGGTAGCACGACATTCAAGACGCCCCTGCAGCCCAGTGCGGGACCAGAGACTGTTTATTCCACAGCCCACAGTACATGAGATAACGACAGAATTTGAGAGCAACCTTTTGGAAACTTATAGCAAGTTACCACAACACTCTTACCGTATTTTTTAAAGTATTAGTGTTCTGTGGATTGGAAATGAAAACCAACAGATCCTTCACCACAACTACCTGAGAAGCAGTACCACTGTCGGCACAGAAAGCACACGTCTGGTCAAAAAAGGCTGTTCCCATCGTTAGAAGCTCACAGAGCAACGTAATAGAGGCATCACTGCCAACAACTGCTCAGGCCAGAGACCTGCCTGTCTCCACAGGTCACAGGGCGTGCCAGGTGTCAGGTCACAGACGCTCTGTGACAGCCCGGGGAACGGCTAGCCAACGGCCTTTGGCCACCTCCGAATGCGAGAAAAGGCCCTGTCCACCCAACAGAGGTCAGTGGGGAGGACGCGATGCCAGGGACCCAACATGGGCTCTGAAATCCGTGGGCGCGGGTACGTGTCTGGCGCTGTCCCCTAACAGCAATATTCTGTGTCACACCTGACAGCTCTCCCAGTGTCAGGCGCCATATCTGGAAAACAGTAATGACAACCTCCATCTTACAGGATCTCAGGGAAAATTCAAGACAAAAGGCACAGAAGGCCGGGCACCTGACATATGCTCTCTACACACGTGTGTGCTGGGAGTGGGCCTGGGCTCGGTGTGCATGCACGGGGAGAGAGGCTCTGCGTACGCACACGGGGGAGAACACCTCTGAGCAGGGAGGGAAGGAAGCAGGCGGCGTCAGCGGGGAGCCCCTCCGTCCCCTCTGAAAGGCTGGTGCCCTTCACGGGCACAGAGGGGAGACACCTCCCCTAACAGAAGCCCAGCAGGGAGACAGTGGGTAGCACGGGGGTGAAGCACCTGGGAAGCTGGCCTCTCCCACCTCCCAGTCCACCCACGAACAGCGAGGGGGCATTGGACACCAGCACGAATGGATCTGGCCCTCGTAATCTGGGTGTCCAGTGACCACTGTGCCCTGAGGCCTCTAGGCCGGCGTGTCTGGCCGAGGCAGAGCAAACAGACTGGCATGCCTCCTCCCAGGCCCGTGGAGATTGTTGGCCAAGCGCGCCGACACCTGGGTTAATTCTGCCATCCTAGGGAACAGAAAGGCCTTGTGAAAGCGTATTTGAGCCAGGAGCGCAGAGGGCCTTGGAAATCTCCCCCACAGCCCGAGCAAACGCCCCGTCCGGGACAGCCGGCAGGATGTTTGCAATGCCGTTTAGGAAAAGGACCAAAAGTCCACTAATGTGAAAATGAGGAAACTTCCTTTCCATCCTGCCATCAGTTGTAGGGTTTGCTACTGAATTTCCGAATGATTTATTAAAATAGCGACTTCATGTTTCATATACTTTTTGAATGGTCCAAGTTTCAAACATTCTGATCCCTGCTGACCGTAAATCAGAAAATGCATTCAAGAGTTTTATTCAAAACAAACAAGATCAACAGGGGTCACCAGGCTTAAAATAGACTGGCTGGTCCCAAACATGCAATCTGAGGGTTTTCAGAGGGTTCCATTTCTATCCTCTCGATTCCAACCAAAAAGGATGCAGTATCCAGAGCAAGGATATATCAATATGCAGGTAAAATCATCCAATTACAAATTTCAGAGCACTTTACTACAAAGCCAACACCTGGGAACCAGGTGGCTGGTGAGCAATCCTCCCTGGAAAGCTGGGGACGCCAAGGCAGACCGTTTCACCCAAAGCTGGAGGGTGGCGCTCAGGTCCTGTCTATCTCCGCAGCAAGCTCTCAGCCCTCCCTGCAGAGAGGCCCTGCTTCCTGGAGAGAAAGGGCACCCCCCAGGGGTGTGGCGCCACCTCCACAGAAACACAAAACCCCGAGACTCATTTCTGAGCAGCACAACCGAGGGGTGGGGAGCATGCACTGGGGCTGATGAGAACACTCAAACCAGCATCTTAATGGCCTTTCCTTATTTCTGGAAATGAAGCCTCAACACAGGATGTCCAATTAAGCTAGTCACTTGGCAATGCTTTCCTCAATCCTGACCCCTTCTCCCACATCCTCCTTCCTCCTAAAATTCTAGCCTTTTAGGGAAATGGCCAAACGCCGCATATCTCAAAACATTTTTGTCACTATGAATCCTTCAGAATGGAGAGACCTACAGCACCACGGCACAATGTGGCCCTAATGAAAAAGGCGGTATTTTGTGGGTAAATGAATGCTGCTCAGCCAGAAAGAAAAAATGTCTTGCACATGTTAAATGCAGTTCCTCTCCTGCAGCAGCCCTGGGCCCTCCCTTCCCAGATGCAACCTCACTTTAAGGGCCTCCCAGCCCCCAAACAAACTGCCAGCAACAACCAAGGCTGTTGGCCAGTCAGCGAGGAAGCTTATGCAGGCAGATCTCTCTCAAAGAGGGAGAGTTCGGATCACTGGACAGAAGTGGGAGGGCTCACAGAACACGAAGCGGCCGGCTCCAAAGACGCGTGGCCGCTTCTCCTCCCAGGCCCTCGGGAAGCCCACGTCCGGCACAGTTTTAGAACCGGAGTCGAGTGAATGCAAACTGAACAGGAAGATGCGCTCGGTCATCCATCAGCGACGTCCGGGCTGACGGGACTGTGTGCTGCTTTGTTTGTTCTTCTTGGAAAGTAATCTGGCAGTAACTCATAAAAGTTTTTAACTTATTTTTTTTTAATGTCAAACTTACAAAAAAGTTGCCAGAATAATATGATGAACTCTTAGAACCCTTCACCTACCTTAACTAATTATTAACATTTCCCCTCATTTGCTTTATGCCTATGTATATAATTATACACACACATTTTTTCTGAACCATTTGAGAGTAAAATGCAAATATTATGACTTTTCTCCCCTAAATCCTTCTGCATGTTATTTTCCAAGAACAAGATGACCTGCTTACATAATGGCAAACTTATCACAGTCAGGAAACTTATCATTAGTACAACAGTATCATCTAATATACAGTCCACATTCAAAATCTGCTAGTTATCTCAATATTTTTTTTAGAGCAATTTTGTCTTGCTTCAGGATCATTCACTGTGCTGTGATGTCATCTCCTAAAAAGTGAAATGAGCCCACTGCTGGCCCAGCAACCCCGACGCCTACAGGCAGAAAAGCACTTGTGTAGAAGGAGACTCTGCATGGAGGTCTGCGTTTCGCTACAGATAGAAATATAGAGGCCTACCGCACCATTATTTTTAGTAGCAAAAAACTGGAAACGATCTAAAAGGCCATCAAGAGGGACCTGTCGGAAAAAAGAACTCATGGTGATGTCCCGGACTCCGGAACATCCTGCAGCCATTAAAAACAGAGAACTGGATCTGTCCGCGTCACCCGAGAAAGATGTCCACGGCTGATCGGTTGGTGATACAGACAGGCTCCTGCATGCTTTTCGCTTCTTTCGGTCACTGAGGAATAAGGGGGCTGCAACCTACCTGTAGAGCACCCCCAGGAGAAATGAGAACCTTTTAAGTAACTTTAACCCTTTTTATTATGAAGTATCACATACTTACAGAAAACCAAGTTAAACAAAGGCATGGTTTGATGACTTATCATAGTATGATAAATAAACACCTTGTAACCACCGCCCGGGTCCAAAAATAGCCACACTAGTCAATAGATGAACAGACAAAAAAGTGTGGCACACATGCTCAATGGAGTGTTATCCAGCATGAAAAGGAAGGAACTTCTGATGTCAACCTGCCCCGAGGTGCATGAACCTCGGGACGCCGCACTGAGTGAAATCAGCCAGTCACAGAAAGACGCATGCTGGGTGATTCTGCTTATGGGAGGTGCCCAGAGTAGTCAAGTTCACAGAGACAGAACGTGGGATGACGTTGAGGGCAGTGGGGAATGGAGAGTTGTTTAATGGGTACAGAGTTTTGGGTTTTCGAAATGAATACAGCTCTAAAGACTATATAGAGATTATACCACACAATACTGTGAATGGGCTTAATACTACTGATCTGTACACTTAAAAATAGTTGAGTGTAGACCGGGCCGGGTGGCTCAGTTGGTTGGGGCGTCGTCTCATACACCAGAAGGCTGCAGGCTGGATTCCCGCCCACACCTAGATTCCAAGTTCGATCCCTGGTCAGCGTGCGGGTGGAGGCCACCAATCTGTGTGTCTCTCCCTCGCATCAATGGGTATGTATGTGTCTCTCTCTCAAGTCAATAAACATACCCTTGCATAGGGATTTAAAATATATTGTTAGGATGCTAAATGTTCTGTTACATGCAATTTACCACAATGTAAAAAAGTTGCCTCGGACTTCCTTCGTGTGCCGGGTCCCAACCACAAGTCCCTTCCTCCTGTCAAAAGTTGCCACCATCCTGACTTTTCTCAAATGTCTTCACAATTTTGTCAACCCAGTGCCTACCAAGGCACCACAGCATCCTCTTGCCTTTTTTAAAAGTTCATACGTGCTTTTAAGTCCTTTTAACTCACAGGTGCTCCCTCCATCTGTG